AACTGTGGGCGCCTGTATAAAATAATGTTTCTTCTTTTTTTCATGTCATTTTCTCTATAAGTTATGATAATTATGTTCATGTTTCTCTATTAAGTCTAAATATTTAAAACAAAGATGAAACTGAAAATTTTACCTAACGAAAGTATTAGTTACAAGGGAATCTTAATAAAAATTATAAAAATGGTATTTTGCATATTAGATGATTTATATGAGTTTATGTTTTTTTATTTTGTTATATTTTTTTTTAAGTTTGTATATAACAAAAACAAATATATGATATTATCAAACATGTTTTCATGTTTTTATTTTAAAAGTTTCATTAATAGAAATATCACCAAACGTGTTTTATTTCTGATTTTTTTTTAAAGAAAACAGAAATAGTATTTCTATTTCTACTCAAAAAAAAAAAAAACATGTTAAATTACTAAACGCTACCTTAATATTTCTTTTCATAATTTTACCTAATATATTCAATCTTATACTATTAATTAAAAACTTTAACTTTTAAATACTAAATTTTAAATCTTAATATGAAATATTTACTAAAAATATGATGTAAAATTATAAGAAAAATGACTAAGTGGGACACCGAATGGAAATATAAGATTTTTGTTTTTTTTTTGTTAAGTTTTGTTAATTTGTATTTGTTGTCAATAAATATAGGAATGAAATCACCTAAATAAGGAAGATATAGAAATATTGACAAAGATCAGACACTTTTATGTTTGATGTTAATGTGCAATTATTGTACAATTATTATTATTTTTTAAAAAAAGGTAGCCTTTATGTCAATGTGATATAATATAAAGGAAATAAATGGCTTTCTTTAATGCTATAAATATGGTACTAATGGAGTCACATATTTTATTCAATAGAACTAGTTTCTACTAGTATTTTTATTAGGAATATGATGCATGCATATAAATACATACATCCATGTAAATCTGAAATCTAAAATTAATGAAAATGATGAATGAAATGAACACATGCATACTCATACATACATACACTGCACAATAAAACATATAACCTACTTTTGAGATAATAACTAGTGTTGGAAGAAAATCAACTGTTTGTATTACTCTCTTGAGCATGCAAAAAATAGATTAGTCTCCATAACAAGTCACTGAACTCCAACCTCCCAAAAAACAGATGGATTCAATTGATTAACTGAAAAAAAAAGGGAAACGAAAAAGAATGATCTTACAACAACACAAGGATACAAGGTTTGTTCTTGGTCCCCTTCACCTGTTTTTTTCATCAGTTCTCCTGTCCTTTTTCCTTATCTTTTTGCTTTTGTTATTTCCAAACGATACAATGCCGCTACTATTCATTAGCACTCAAGTTTGATCAGATTGTAGCTGTGGTGTCTCAATCCAAATCTAGAT